TACACATATTTTTGGGGGACACAATTCAATCCATGACAGCTACTAACCAAAAGATTGGCAGTTGAAACGCGCCCAGAGGCACCTTGGAAGTAAGGCCTGGTGATCTGTTTCAGAAAGTAGGAATAAAGGACAACATAAGGAGGCAGAAGGGAGGGAGGGAGGGGGAGAGAGAGAGAGAGAGAGCAAGAGATATCTTGCCTTGCTGTTATCTTAGTACTTAATTAACACTTTTATTTACATTATTATTAGTATTGCACAAAACAAGAAAATACTGGTATTAAACATGACTTCTTAACAGACATAGAATACATCTGAATATAATGACTGACACAAACGTAAATAATTCTAGTACTACTGTGGTCACAGTATTTCATTATTAAAAGTTTTGCCTGAAAGCATGACATGTCTTAAATCAGTATATTAACATATATTCAAAATTCAGAGTTAATAAAAGTTAAATATTATCCCCAAGTACAAAACATATATGAACAATCAATGAATGATTAAATATGTTGTGTCTCCATTTGATGGTGGCATATTATTTATTTCAAGTGATACAACACATATTTGGAGAATTTGATGAAATATTTTAAATTATTTTGATTTCAAAACTGAGACCAAATTTATAGACGAAAAGGTGAAATTTACATGCAAGGTGTGCCGTAAATTTCATTACACAAAATTTATTTGGGCATCTTATCTGATTTATGTCAATTTTCTATTTCCTTAAATCAGAAATATTATTCACAATTGTGTTCTAAAATTAAAGCTGTAACACATGGCTAATTCATAGTTCTTAAATCAGAAGAGTAAGAAGGAAATTAAAGTTGAGGGGAAGTAGAAATTAGTTATTACATTTTTTTCTCTTAACACTGTTGACAGAATCACAACTTATGCCTTAAAATCCATTCGTAACTACAATTTTTGTCATTGAACACTACTCAAATGATATATTTTAAAATAATAAATGGGCATAGGTCTTTACGTAACTGAGCAATTGGTAACTGCAACTCAAGGAAACTGAGTTTTATTAGTTATTATTATTATATAATACACATGGCTGTGGTTCTCTTACCATAGAGATCATAATAATTATTATTTAGACTCCTTTTTGGTGACACTATAAATTCTGTCATTTCTGCAGTAGGATTTTGTCCAAAAAATTCACCAGTCAGTGTGATTTCCACTGCTTCTTCTACCCGCTTCTTGGCTTGACATTTTATGACAACTATAGGAAAGAAATATTTTCAGTTAATTTGAATATTATTTTATATGATCATACTTGAGATAGAAGAAAATGACTTTATCTTGAAGAATAAAACTTGCTTTGTTATATTTTGACTTGTCATCGACTCTGGCATTAACACATACACAAGTGCACGCACACGCATTGACACGCATACATTGACATTTTGGAAGCAAAATATGAATATTAAAGAATAATTAGAATAATTAGAAAGAGTATGACAAAAAATCAATCTGAAGCTATGC